GTTTACAACACAGATAGATAAAGGTTGTGACACGACTAAACATTGTTTTATATTTATGAAGGATAATGCTATGTGGTCCGGCCTATTATCAATCTAGAAATATATAATTATGTAAAAAGAGGTAGTAAGAATAGCCTTTCTATTGTCAGATAACTCATTGTATCAATTGCTTGATAAGTCGTATACAATTTGTTTAGATTCACATACACCACCATGTAAATGCTAGATTTCATACAAACTTCATTATATGTTAGTCATACTTTTTATCCTAAGCAAATTTTTTTTCTTGAGAAATAAATACATAAATTATTGAATCCGGACTTGTCTTTTCGGAAGAGTACGCCTTGAGAGTTAGAGATGGGAGAGGAGGAAGGAGAGGGAGGGAGGAGAGAGAGAAGAATGTTAGACAATTCTTAGTAGAGAAGTTGAGCTGAAATCCTCAAACTAGTTTCTCTTTAATAGGGTTTAGAGATTAGGTATTCTTGGCGACTATGGTCGGTCCATAGAGCCTCCTTACGCTCACTTGAGAACCCGAATAGTGGACCGGTCAGAGTGGCCAATTCGCTAGTATCAAATCCCATCTCATCGAAAGTTGATTTGAATAGGATGTTTACCGAGCTTCCAGTGTTAACCAGGATGCTAACCACTTGATAGTGTTTATGAGCGTCGTAACGAGCATCGCTTCATTGTACGGGTTTCCTTTTGAGGAGAGATCAGTATTTATAAAAATGCTTGGGGGTGATTAAAAGTGTGAGTGATAGAACCTACCTCCCTTGGTCCGTGCCTCTTCAGACTGGATGGTCAGGGTAATCCTTCACATCTGTTGGAGATAGCAGGGATGATTCCGGCCAAGTGGATTTTTTTCGCTCGCACTGATTAGTTTGTGAGCTCCTCTGTTGGGGCTTTCTCGGGTCGTTGTGAGTGCACTCCAACAACGACGAACTTCTTCAACTTTCCATCCCTGATGAGCTACTTCACCAAATTTTGGAGATGACGACAATCCTCTGTCTCATGCCCATGGTCCCGATGGTAGGCGCAATACTTGTTCAAATTGCGCAATGATGGTGCAGTTTTAAGTGGAGGGGATTTCTTGAAGTAGCCCTTGTATTGAATGGCCAAGACTACCTTGTTCATTGACACCTTTAGGGGTGTCAATCCTCGCAACTTTCATTACACGTGTGGTCACTCATAACACAGGGCCAAGTGTCGATCAAGATCGTATAAGTGACCCTTATTACCTTGGTCACCCCCTCGGCCATCCTGAGGTCGGGGGTGCTCGACATGTCGGTCACCAAGGGCTCAATCGCCTTTTTTTTTTCCTTCTGTCATCATCTCAATCCTTCCATTTCTGCGATCAGTGGTTGGATGCTCTAGGTTCAGTCTACGGGGACTACATAAGGTTCTCTTCGGTAGTGATATGTTTATTTTCCAATTCCTAGACCTCCGTGAAGATCCTTCACTTAAGTAGGTTCAGATCATACATGAACTGCTTGTTGTGGATCCCTTCCTACAGGGTGATATGGGCGATGAGGGGCTCTAAATTATTTACTTCCAACATTTCTTTCTGAAAAACAAGTGATGTAAGTCTGCAGACTCTCGTTCTCCCCCTTCCTGATCTTAAGCTGAGTCTTTGTGTTCTTCCTCAATCTTTGTGCATTAGTAAAGTGTGCCCAGAAGAGCTTTGGGAATTCAAAGAAGGGTGATATGATTCCATCTGTCAGGCTTTTAAACCATCGGAGCGCGGCTTCTCTCAGCATCATCAAGAATAGCCGGCACCTGATGGTGACATTGATTTGTAGGAGTCTAATTGTTAACTCAAAAGAAGCTAGGTGATCAACCAAGTCACTCTTCCCTTTATAAGGATCGAAGTGCATGATTTTGAGCTTTGTCGCGGGTATGGTTTAACAGATTCTTCATGAGATGTCGTTCCCCATAAACGGTTAAGCAAACATTCCCACTCAGTATGCTAGATGTAGGACTGTCGAAATAAATGCAACATTAACTGTCGGTTGTGAGTCCTCTTGTCCCTCGGTTGGCCAGTTGTCATGTCAATCTTGGGGTGCTGGAAAATTTTTCGAGGGGTACCTTCTGAATGCGGGTTCCCTGAGACTTCCCCTCAACGGGCGGCGATCGGGCGTTATGCTGGATCATGGCTGCCCGAAGAGCCACCAACTGATCCATTATCTACACTCGCAATGCCTGGACCTCTTCTCATATATTTCAGTGCATCATCTCTCTATTAAATTTCATGAGTGCAATTCCTCTCTATAGGGGTTATCCTTTGTAGTTGGCTCTGCTTCTCTTCTGGGGTTTGTTCACGCTTAGAGCACCAACTTTCAAGATGTTGAATCTGGACTTGTCTTTTCGGAAAACACACCTCAAGAGTTAGAGCCGACAGAGGAGGAAGAAGAGATAGAGAGAGATGAATTTTAATGAATTCTTAATAGAGAAACGGGGCGGAAATCCTCAGACTAGGATGCACTGATTTAAAATTATATTCATATTACAATTTAACTTTTGAGAATGACAGTTATTAGTCGGTCGACATGTCTTAGTTTAATAAACAAAAACTATGGGCCGAGTGGAGGTCGTTTCTATCGAAGTATGAGTGGTCGGTTGGTCGACTACGTTCGACAGGCTTTTAGGGAGCTTTGTCGGCTTGAACTATAAATAGGTCCGTCAACTGAATTCGCCAAGGGTGTTGATCTTTCAGATGATCTATCTAGATCACGCCTCTTGAATTTAATGTCTTGATGGTTGAGCCATCATCTTTAGTCGTTCAATTGCTTTGAGATTTGTGTCAACGATATTTGTGCATACATAAATATAACACTACGAGAATATTGAACAAAAGAACCATTATCATTAAATCATCTAAATTTGATAAATACATCGTCCAAAAACTCTCTTATAAAAGAATTATAGTTGTAAATGTGCAAGTTGATTTTTTGTTGAGTGATTTTTTCTTCAAAATCCCAATGAAATCTCTTTATTGAGGATTTTTTTGAGAAATTATAAAGTGATTCCATGTAGTTTGGAATTAAGCCTTAAGAGATTAGTGAAAGAGTTACTCTTTATTGATGATAAATTGAATTTCAAAGGTCATGATAATCTCACATTCCCTTGCAATATTGTTAGGCATCTCTAAATCATTCACAGAGTACAAAGACCTTATCATGTTGCAAATCATATTTGCCTCAACTTCATGTGTATCCAACATGAAATGTCATGTAGAAAGATGCTACGAAGAAAAATTCTCATTAATTAATTGGTAATATAATTAGTACAACCAAACATGTAATAAAGAACGTCAAGGGATGTGGTATAAAATGGTAACATGATTGTTAAATAATATAATTACAGTAAAAAAGTGATCAAATTTGGTTAAAATATTGTTAATGAATCAAGTGCATCCATGACTCTGTACAACCCAACAACTTATAATGCACCCCCATGCAATAAGAAAAATAATTTATGATTTGAAAATATAAAAAGGTTTATGGCTCAAAACATTTGGATCAAGTTTACAGGACTTAAACAAAAATACATGAAAAGTCATGGTACAAAATTAACTATACTAGATTGTGATTATATCTAAGATAGTATGCGTAAACATTAATTCATTTATTATTAATTGTCTTCAAAACCTCTTTGTATTGCCTCGTCATTATTCTTAGGACATGCATGCCATTCCCAGTCTCCAATTGAGAACTGATTCAATCATCTTTAATAACATTGATAACCACCATATAGTGATCCATTATTACCATCAGATCATGTAATCTCCACTTTCATGAGAGTTCCACTCTTTGATAAGAAGTCAACTATTTTTAGTGACATTATTGACTTTTTATCCAACTCAATTGATTTCTTTAGACCATGTCATATCTAATTCAAGGAAAATAAATCCAACCACCTCCAATAGCCTATATGACCTTCTTTTGATGCTTTCCTGCCACTTTTATGTCATGCCATAACTACATCCAAGGACTAATTTGATCATCTCCAGTTATCTTCACTATCATTCCATGCCTCTTTCTCGTAGCATTTAGGTTGTTCCATCTATATTTATATAAGGTGATAAATCTAAGGGTTTGTTTGGGGCAGTTGCAGCTGTTTGAAGAAGCAACTGTTAAGCTGCTGAAAAAGAAGTTGTTGTTTAAAAAGCTGTGATTTCTATCACAATTTTTTTTTTTTGAAAAAGTCATATCGCAGCTTTCTAACAGTCATCACAAATAGTCATGTCTAGTGGGAAAACACGGCTTTTAGCTGCAGTTTTTTGAGAAATTAGACTAAAAGCAGCTGTATCAAACGAACAAAATTGTAGTGCACCACCACACCGCCGTCTGAAACGCACACTAACTATTGTTAGAGGCTTCCACAACTTTCATATATGATTATGACATCGCTTGCAGTTTTGTCACATCCAAGAATAGACCATTTTGATCATCTTTAGCTTACATCATATCCATCATATATTGCTCCATCACTACATTTAGGTTTTCTTATCTTTCATTTTATAGAATGTTTAATATAATTAGTTCTAATGGCTTTTAGTTATCTCCTATACTACATCAAATATTAAATTCAGGTTGTTTTGCATTTACTTCTCATATGTAGACTATCCTAGTACAGTGCATTGTTATGTTGCTAACATCAATAGTAATAGTAACATTTTAATTTCTCTTGCATTGTAGTAACGCTTTTTTCAAAGTTAAGAGAAGGGCAATTCTCTATAGTATGGGAAGCTAATTATTGGAATTCTAAGAAAGATATTACTATCGTTCAAAAGAAATTATTCAGAACAATCTTAAAAAAGTTGTTTTTCTAGTAATAACTCTTTAATCCCCATAAAAAAAAAAATTATGGCTGCTTCGAATGATTCGTTTCAAGCATTAAGAAGATTAGAGAGGCTTCTATCATTAAATTTCTGTGGGACTGTGGGAGCCAATTTAGACTTAAAGATCTTGAAAAAAAAGGTATTTTTTTCCTGAGGATTCAAACCGCTTTGTCTTTCTTCCGTCTAAACAGAAAGAACCAACTTTTCAGTCTTTCCCTTTTGATTGTTTCGAATATTTTATCAGATTTCAAACATAGAAAAGGAAAGAACTGAAATTTTTAGGGTTTCGTCTCACGAGTGTGGAAGTAAATCTAGTGCTGCTAAGAGGTGAAGTTGACCATGTTCTCCTAAGAGATCAGAGGTAACCTTCGAACCTCTCTCTCAAAAATCCCTTTTTGGTCTTTCCCCACTGTACGTCCATCCTCTCTGACTTACCATCCCAAAAATGAAAAGAGATGCATAAGAAATTAGAATCAAGAGGAAGTAAACAAAGATTTGAGTTTATCTTCTTTGACCCTTCAGCAAGCAGAAAGATCGCTTGTTTCTTAATTTTTCGAATTTTTTCCCTTTAAATGATCCGGCTTCGTTCATCCTTCAAACTACAGAAAGAAGGGTATTTTTTGCTCTACCTAACCAAATTTATTCGGATCAGTTCTATAACGAGCCAAAAATTGAATCTTTAAGCCTCCCATCTCTGATGCCTTGTCTTCTCTCCCGAACCAAGAGAGGAGATGATTAGTCCTACTTGGTTCCTCTCCCAAATCGTCAGCAGAAATAGCTTCCAGTATCCTCAACTCAATGCTTTCAAGAAGGACTCCTTGCCGCTTTCCTCAATCCAATCGCCTCCATCCCCTTCACTAACCTCGAGCACTACCAGAATTAGCCCTGCGGTGCTCTTCATCATCGTAATTCTTGCAGTTATCTTCTTCGTCTCTGGACTCCTGCATCTCCTAGTCAGATTCCTCATAAAAAAGGGACCTTCTGCTTCTCGCCGTTCCAACCGCAGCACAAACACAGCTATCACCGGTGATTCCGATGCGCTGCAGAGGCAGCTTCAGCAGCTGTTTCACCTTCACGACTCTGGACTCGATCAAGCATTCATCGATGCGCTACCAGTTTTCCTGTACAAGGAGATAGTTGGCGCAAAGGAGCCGTTTGATTGCGCTGTCTGCCTTTGTGAGTTTTCTGATGATGATAAGCTCAGGCTTCTCCCTATTTGCGGCCATGCATTTCATCTCAATTGCATTGACACATGGCTTCTGTCAAATTCTACTTGCCCTTTGTGCCGTGGAGCACTTTTCATTCAGGGGCTTGCAATTGAGAATCCTATGTTTGATTTTGATGACTTGAGGGAGGATGAAGAAAATCCAGATGAAAATCATGGTGAAAAACCAGCAGAATCGGAGGAGATTGTTACAGAGAAGAGAGTTTTTCCCGTGAGACTTGGAAAATTCAGGAGTGTGAGCAACGGGGTTGGTGGTGGTGATGGAAACTGTGGCGCTAGAGTTGTTGATGAGGGTGATGATGGGTCTGTGAGAAGAGAGGAAGGGGAGACCAGCAGCAGCAATTTGGATGCAAGACGGTGCTTTTCAATGGGCTCTTATCAGTATGTGGTGCAGGATGCAAATCTTCAGGTGGCGTTGAGCAGCGGAGTGAGGATTGGTGAGGGAAAAAGTTTGAGAGCTCCGGTGGGATTGATTGGTAATTCTGCAGCAGAGGATGGTGTTTCTGAGGGGAAGAAACTGCATGCTGGGAGTAAAGGTGAGAGCTTTTCAGTATCAAAGATATGGTTGTGGTCTAATAAGAAAGGTAAGCTTCCCATCTCTGATGCATCTAATCCTGATGGGAGCTTGCCATGGATGGTGAGGAGTTCTTCTGATACATGAAAGGTGTTTTTTTTTTAATTTTTTTTTCATAAGGGGGTGGCCTTTAGAATTTCATTAATCAAATTCGTATTCTGATGCTATCTCTACTTTATCACTTGTTGTTTGTTATGGTTGTATGAGTTCCTTGCGGGTTTTGAGTGTTGGTTCCTGGCAAAGTAGGCTTTAGTAGAGTTATGATTAGAATACTCTTAGTTATTAGTGATCATGTTGACTCTACTATGATTAAATTATAAAAAATAGCTTGTTGATACTATAAGTGTAAGGTTCCATGCGTCAAACCTTTCTTAAATGTTAAATTGGTGGGGAATCTTGTACATTTTAGATGGTGTGAACCAAAAGGGATCGAAGTTGGGTTCGATACACGGGCGTTCACTTCCATTTTCAATCCAAAAACTTAAATTTATCATAAAGGGTCAATTACTTGATACTTCACCAAGATACACCAGTGTTCACATCCGTTTTCAATCGAAAAACTTGTGTTTTTGCATGAGGGTTTATCATGAGGTACCCTACACCAACATATTTTTTTAGTTATCTGATATGGGACTAAATCTAATACTCTAATTTGCCTAAACAACCCCCTTGTGTGAAAACACTCCACATTTACTATCATTTTTCAGACACAAGTATATTATTATTAAATCATCAAGTATCATGTATCAAGAGCCCACTCAACCACATGATGGTGCCATGGGGACCACCCACTTTTGAACTTTGATCAACCATGGTTGAAGATGTCAAATAGGAGCCATAAGTCGCATGAATCCTTTGAATTTAGTCAAACCATTAACTCTCATACAAGATATTAGAAAGTATGAGCCAAAGAGAAATCAAAATTGGGCAAAATATATTAATGATTATAAATGTTTTCAGTCCTACAGTTTAAGCTATTAGTGATATTCAGCAACTATGTATGTCTATATCAACATACTTCTCAATTAGCTGATATGATACTAAATCTAATGCTCTCATATGCGTTAATGATTCACTAATATGCCTACTATGCTATCGATGATTAGATTCCCATCTCACAGAGAGGTAGCAAGAGAGAGAGATAGTAATTCACTTGCATAATAAAGCCCATTTTTCTCTCCACTTGGGGAGGATAGAGGAATTCATTTTCCATGGAAAAAGTTAGGTATTGAGTTCTATTATAGTATGAATTTGAGACTTTGAGAGTGAAGACGATTATGCCCTTAGGTAGTAGAAGAGTCCAATCCTTGTCTTCCTTTCCCTTATTGTTTTTGGCCCTACTATAGCAGATGCCTCCACTACACTCACTTGACATGACTAAAACTGTGGAAACCTGAGAAGTTTCAGGTGATTTTCCAAGTATGGACTGGCCGTCTATCTAAAGATTTTATAGGAGATTTAATTGGAGACCGATTTGAAAACCTCTTGATTTGTGTTTATTCCTTTCCTTTATATGTTACTTTTTTACTTTAGAATTATTTTGTCTTCTAATATAAGTTATATATATATGGTAAGTTTGCAAATTAGGACATATTAGATTCTTTATATATATATGTACCTTACATGTAAATAAGAAGACTGCAATTTTTCTCAAGCAATTTCTACAAGCTATCACAAACTTGAATCGAACCCCTAGCTTCCTTGCCACAGTAACCCCTCCAATCCCCCTGCCAGCTTACAGGTCAGCCAAAAAACCTCTCATAGTATGGACTAGCCATCTATCCAAGATTTTATCGGAGATTTGATTGGAGACCAATTTGAAAACCTCTTGATTTGTATTTATTCCTTTTCTATATATGTTTCTTTTTTTATTTTAGAATTATTTCCTTTTATAACTTAGATTGTATATATTTTGTAAGTTTGTAAATTATGAGGGATTAGATTCTTTATATATATATATATATATATACCTACCTTACATGTAAATAAGAAGACTGTGCAATTTTTCTCAAGTAATTTCCACAAGCTATCATAGACCTGAATCAAAACCCTAGCTTCCCTGCCACAGTAACTCCTACAATCCCTCTGCCAGCTTGAACTTCAGCCAGAAATCCCTTTTTCCCCGGTTTCCGAACAATCTTCTTCTGTCTTTCCAACAGGAAATCTTCTTTGTTCTTACCGACAGAAAATCCCTTTTTCCCGGCTGGAAATCTCCTCTAGTCTTCCGACAGGTAATCTTCTGTGGTCTTTCCCAAAATGAAATCTCCAGCCTTCGCAGCAGGCAATCTTCTTTGATCTTTCTAGCCAGAAATCTCATCTAGTTTTCCTGTAGGCCTCACTGCTGGAAACCCTCCCCTGTAGTTCTTCCTCCTCTGACAAAATTCTTCAACAGCAACAGTAGCTAGAATGTTCCCTACAACCGTCAAAATCATTCATGCAGCCACTCATCTTATTGTAGGTCCTCCATTAGAGCTTCTCGGTGCAGTAAGCCCTTCACCAGAGCTTTTGCCTGTAACAAACCCTCCACCAAAGCTTCTCCTTGCAACCATCAATGTCGGAATTCTCTCTGCAGGCCCTCTAGGTTTCTGTCTCTCCTCCATTGTTTCCCTGCAGGGCCTTGGCAGTGGATCTTGTTGCTCGCTCTGTCTGTCAAAAGTCTCCTTGTAGCCAGAGTAGTCACAGTTTTTGGTAGCAGCCAGAGCAACCCTATGGACTTTTTCCAGGGCTCCCTACAGGTTTCTAAGCCTTCCTCCTCTCCAATGGCGAGAAGCAACCTCAAATTCTATCACTTACAGCAGCTCGGAATTTTTCTAGGCCTAAATGTGAATAGGTTTTATGACCAATTACAGAAGGAAGGTGTTTGGTTCTACTGTGGAGCCTACCGGTTTAATGGTTCACCAAGGCACCATATCTTTCTATCTTGCTAACAATGGAAGATTTTGATCGTGGATAATGGATTTAGGTGCTTTTGATCGCATGACTGTTGACATTCATGCTTTCATCAACTGTCCAGAGATTGCTAACCCCAAATTTGTTTGACTTGTCGATGGATCTCATTCCAAAATTGTTTGAAAAGGAGATGTGAAAATCTCCACAGATATTTAATTTTCATCAGTGTTATATGTTCTCCAATGAAATTGCAACTTACTTTCAATTAACAAGCTTATTCATGACTTGAATTATGTTAATAAATTTCATTCTAACTTTTGTAGATTTCAAGTGGTGGATTCAGGGAAGTTTATTAGCAGTGTTGCATTGCATCATTGTATATGTCTGCTCAAGGAGAACTATTCCCTTAACACACAAGTCTTTTCTCCACTATCTCCTTCTCATGATCCCGAGAATGTTGCGTTGGAGTTTGTTGAAGGTTAAGTTTTATTATAACATTGTCATCTAGGTCAACCTATTTTCTTTTTTTTTATATTTTGAATTTGTATTCCCATCTTTTTATTAACGAATAGCCTGAGTTATATCAGTGTGAAACCTGCTAATTGGCTAAACATACCCTTCATTTATATCATTTATCTTAATACAAACTGCCACATTTTTTCTATATCATCCATAGTGGTATTTGGAGACATCAAAATTGAAAAGCATTAATGGCCACCGATGGTTTCGTATCCTCATTGTAATCATACTAGAATCAGTTCAATATTTCTCATTAAAGAGAAAGTTGAAATTGCACAAATTTTTTAGTTCTATGACATGATTTTCTCTCACTTCAAATACAAAATTTAGATTCTTAAAATTTATAATGCAAAGAAATACTTCATCTCTATCCTTGTACCTTACCTTTTAAAGAATGATATTATCAATGTGAGTTCTTGTTTAGAAACTCCACCACAAAATGGGATTGTTGAGAGAAAGAATAGACATTTATTTGACGTATTCAGGTCTATAATGTTTTCTCACAATATCCCAAATGATTTCTGGGGAGACGACGTGTTCAGAACCACCTACTTCATTAATAGAATGTCAATTAGAATTTTTGGATTCAAAGTCTCTCTCTATGTTTTAATAGAAAAATACCCTCATGTTAGAGCATTCTCATTTCATCTTCTTTTAAAAATATTGATGACATCTCTTTTGTTCACATTCACAAGCCAAATCACACAAAGCTTGATCCAAAATCTATCAAATATATTTTTCTTGAACATGACTCCAACAAAAAAGGGTATAAGTGTTACTATCCTATTACCAAAAAATATTATAACTCTATGGATGTCACATTTTTTTAAACTCAATTTTGTTATCTCAAATCTAATGTTCAGAGGGAGAGTGTAAATGAACATTAATTTTAAAATGCACTTGATGACACCTATATGGCAAACTCACCTACTCTTCCACCTGATTTTTCTATTCCTGTTTAGGATATCCAACCAAACCCAACCTAAAGTCCACAACAATGAACTTCATGTTCATATAAGGAGAAAGAAAAATCTTGAGCAAGTGGAAAACAACTTGCAAACCATAATACGTGTCTAGATTTACCTGAAATTTCAGGTGAGGATTCTAGTACTCATGAGTTGTCTTCTTCCTCTTATGGTGCTGATGATAAGAAAAGTTATATCAGATACCCAATTTAGGAGTATGTTGCTTATTGGAAGTTATCCTCAGTTTATTAAACATTTATATTTAACTTTGGTAGTGTGTATATCTTAAATTCATTCATGAAGCTCTTGAAAATCCAGAATAGAAGAAAGCAATGGAAGACGACATTCAAGCATTGCGGCATAATGACACATGAATCCATACTAAACTCTCCTAAAATAAGAAGCCAGCTTGATACAATTGGGTGTTCAACATCAAAATAAGCTGATGGTAATATTGAAAGATTCAAAGCCAGACTTGTTGCACAATGTTTAACGCAAGCTTATGGGATTGACTATCAAGAGACCTTCGCCCCAGTTACCAACCTGAATACTATCATAGTTCTTTCAGTAGCAGTAATATGGAATGAGGATTGCGTCAACTTGACATAAAAAATGTCTTTCTGAATGTGAATCTGAAAAAAATGTACTTTGAGTACCATCAGAACTTGAGAATGATTTCAACAAACATATTATGCATACTCAGGAAGCCTCTCTGTAAGCTTAAGTAATCCCTAAGGGCATGGTTTGAAAGTTTCTCTAAAACTATGAAATTGGATGAATATTCTCAAAAGTCAAGTTGATCGCACATTGTTCATAAAACATACTTAGGGGATGAAATTGTTGCACTTATCGTATGTATATGTGTGTGTGTGTGTGCATATGATGCATATGATTATTACCAGTGATTTATTACCAGTGATGATGAAAGAAAAATTAATAAAATTGAAAAGTGTTTGCCGCTGAGTTTGAAATCAATGACCTAGGAAACATGAGATTTTTTTAGATATGGAGGTAGCAAGGTACAAGAATGGCATTGCTATATTACAGAGGAAATACATCCTAGATCTACTAAAGAAAACATGGATGATTGGATACAAATTTGTTGATACTCCAATGGAACCAAACAAGAAGTCGAATAGGGAAGAATAGAGTATATCTGTGGATAAGGGAAGATACCACGTATTGGTAGGAAAACTCATCTATTTGTCACATACTAGACCAGATATCACATACTCTGTTAGCATTGTTAGTCAACACATGAATAGCCCAAATGAAGAGTATTTGGAGAAGATATATAAGATTCTGAGATTTCTCTAAAAAACTCCTGATTTTGTATTAATTTTAAAAAAAATTAGAAACAGAGATGGAAGTTTACGCGGATGCTAGTTCGGCCGAGGAACTCATTAACAAAAGGTCTACCACTGGTTAGAGCTCATACATATGAGGAAATCTAGTTACATGGAAAAGTAAGAAGCAAGTTATTGTTTTTAGAAGTGTTGCAAGTATAGAACACTTGCTTTGGGAATTTGTGAAGGAATCTAGATTCAGAAATTGTTAAGGGAACTAGGATGTACCTTCAATATGTCTATATAGATATTTTGTGACAGTCAAGCAGCTATCACTATTATCAAGAATCTTGTCCATCATGACAGGATCAAACATATTGAAGTTGATAGACACTTCATGTTTAAAAAAGTTAATGGAGGAATTATACAACTAATCTATATCCCCACACTAACAAATTATTGATGTCTTCATCAAAGCCCTCCCTTTAAGCACATTCTCAGTGTTCAATACCAAGCTTGGTCTCTACAACATCTACGATCTAGCATGGAGTGGGGAGTGTGGAACCCTGAGAAGTTTCAAGTGGCTTTTCTCGTATGGACCAGCCGGCCATCCAAGATCTTATTGGAGATTTGATTGGAAACCAATTTAGAAACATCTTGATTTGTGTTTATTCATTTCCTATTTATGTTTCTTTTTCTTCATTCCAGAGTTATTTAGTTTCCTAATTTATGTTAGATATATTTGGTAAGTTGATAAATTAGGAGGAATTGAATCCCCTATACATATATGCCCTACATGTGAATAAAAAGGCTAACCAACTTTTCCAAAGTAATTTCTAGAAAAAAAACCATTGATGTAGTATGAATTAAAGGTTCTTATAAGTCAGCCTGCACGAGTCTGTCAAGCTTTTGTTGGCACTTACTACTGGGTGGGTCTCACTTACAGTAAACATGCCTTTCATGGCTTCCCTGCTTGGCCCGGCTGCTCTTTTTTAATGAAATAATTGGGGACCCAAAGCAGTGGCCCCAAATATTTGGCTCATAGCCACAGAAGGGGCCAAAATATAAATGGTTTATTTACAATTTGGATGACTTTCTTGAGAGTTATTATGCAAAATAGCTGCCCGGTATATAAGATAGCAACTTTCTTTTACATTCATGCCACTGTAATCCTTTGCTTTGTGCTTCAGGCTCCATGAATCTGCAAATGTTCGGATACAGTTGAAATTTTTGGTTTTCTCTGTTGCTTTTCATGCTTATGTCTGTTTCGCATAGAATTGGAGAATATGAAATTTGGTATTTTCTAGGAAGATCACTCAATTTCTATGTATTTACATATCTAACACCAACTTCGATTTTTACATACAATGCCACCTTGCCTATGCATGAAAAAGTATATTTCACTTGTTAAAATTTAAATTGGTGTTGTTTTTTGATGTGATATGGAAGATTTGGGTGGTATAAATGTGAAAAGAAAGCAGAGTTTAGGTGTTAGATTTGCAAATACGTAGGAATTGGGTGGTATGTATGTAAATGCCTCTATTCCTTAAGTGTGAATTATTAGGTGGCATCTTTATTTTTTGCTCTTTATGGTGTAATGTTGTATGAGATAATAAATTCATTTTATTCAAATTTCTATACACAATTTGTTTCAATATTAACTTGGGCTTTTTTCATTTTTTTCTTAAATCATAGCACTATAGTTTTACATAGTATTTTTATTTTTTATATCTTCTTCATCCCTTTAACACGCCTAAGTAGTTTGTATTATACGAAAAAATATTCCGTCCAGAGTCTGAACCTAAAGCTATGTCCAGACAATGTACTCGATGCACCAGACGGGGCAGAGCAGAAAAAAAATTGTTCCCAATGTATCGCGTCCGTTATCTGGACATAGCTTACGTATGGAGTCCAGACGCAACATTTATTCGTAATCTTAACTTCAACATTGGCTGCTCCCACCATCCACAGTTTTATTATTTTTCAATCTATTTTTAAATTATTGGGATAATTACATACATACCACTGAAAACATTGACATCTACAATTTAACCATCAAGATTATTTTCTTAAACCACCACCAATGTAATTCGTGTGCCACGATCAAGCTATTGAGAATTTGATCAAATTAAAAAAATATTAATATTTGAGTGAATTTGAAAAGTACATGAAAGAGAGGGATTGATTTGTAAATAGTAAGTTTAGGGTGGTATCTATGTAATTGCCCCCCTCTTAATATTCTCAAGTATGCTACATTTTAACCCAGCATTTAGGTCCATATTAATAAACATTTTATCATGTATATCTTGAATATTTTTTTATACATCCTTGCAAATTATATTGCTAATGGATATATATATATATATATATATATATATTCTTCTGTTATTTTCTCATGCGATAAATCGTTTCATGAGATCGCACGTGCGATTGTCGGAGGCAAAGGCTTGTGACTTCGATATCGAAAATGACAATTCTATAGGATGGTTTAAAGCGGTCTGAACCGAGCAGTAATCGAGCCACTTTCATGACCAACGCTGTTTGAGATAATTCTATTTTATCTGTTGAAATTTTCTTTTTATTATTATTTTTTTGAATATATAACAAAAATAAATTGCAGGTACGTAGTAAATATAACATATGTATGTTTTGTAGGTATGTACATCCCCCGCTATGATGATGAAGACGGTGGCTCATAAGAGGGGAAAAAATTTGAGCAAGTAAGACGTACGCAGCGTTGTGTGCATAATAGATGTTTTATGAGCGTTATATCGACATTATATTCGTGTTATATCTCTTTCAATCTTTATATAACTTTCATGTAATCTACAGATATGTGAAAACAAAAGCATATAACTTATTTGTAAGTTCAGGTAGGTTAAGGTTAGTTATATATAAGTTACATGGAGGTTACAAGGGATATAACACGAATATGATGCTGATATAATGCCCATATAATCTTCATTATGTACGCAGTGTTGCTTCTGTCTTACGTACACAATTTTTTTTCCATAAGAGGACGGCTAGTTAGGCTTTGGTGATCATAATTATTTTTAAAAATATTCAAAATATTTTAATTTTTTTGAATATTTTTAAATTTATGTTATTTTTTTTTTGAAAATAAGAAATAAAAACATATTAAAATACGCTAAGTAAATGTGTTTTTAAGAAACTAAGCTAAAATAAATACTATAGCAAAAATTGAATATAGTTTTAATTTGGTTTAATTTGATTTCATATTTTATGCTTCTTTTATTTGATTTATATTTATACTTTATTGTTGATGAGAAAAATTTTAGTCTAGTTATAAAAATTGACATTATTGATGAAAATAGATAAAATGAAAATTGACCGATCTTAAGGGGAATTAAGTTGACGTGTCATATCTTAAAATTATGGGAGAGCGTAATTGAACAAAGATTAAGTTGTATTAGAAAGATTTCTCATAATCGGTTTGGATTTATGTTGGACGGGTTTACTATGGAAGTTATATATTTATTGAGAGGTTTGATAGAAAAGTACAGAAAGAATAAGGAGAATATACATATGATTTTTATTGATTTAGAAAAAGCTTACGATAAGATTTTAAGGGATATCCTTTGGAGAGTTCTAGAGAAGAAAGGTGTTGATATGACTTATATTCAAGTCATTAAAGATATGTAAGCTAGAATAGTTGTGTTCGAACAAAAAGAGGATTGACCAATTATTTTTCTATTTTAGTTGGGGCCCATATCTTTTTTGTTTTAGTTATGGATACTCTTACTGGACATTTTCTGGAAGATGTACCTTAGTGTATGCTTTTCGCTGATGATATCATTTTTGTGGATAAGAGAAGAGAAAAAGCTCAAGAAAAACATGAATTATGGAGGTCTACATTGTAGTCTAAAGGCCTTCGTTTGAGTAGAACTAAAACTGAATACATTGAATGTAATTTTAGTGGTATTAACTATGGGTGATCAAATTATTAAAAGGTGTGAATGTTTTATATATCTCAGATCTATTATTCAAAGTGATGGCAACATAGATGGGATGTAATTAGTAGAATTCAAGTTGGTTGGTTGAAGTGGACGAATTCTTCGGGTTTATTATGTGATAGAAAATTATCGGTTAGACTGAAAGGAAAATTTTATCAGATGGTGGTGATACCTGCAATGCTCTACGGCGTTGAATGTTGGCCTTTAAAAGAGAAACATAAGACTAAGACAAGTGATGTTGAGATGAGAATGCTTAGGTGGATGAGTGGCTTTACACTTAGAGACAAAATGTGAAATGCTTATATCCATGATAGGGTTGGTGTAGCTTCAGTGGTGAACAAAATACGAGAGAGTCATCTTAGATGGTTTGATCACATTAAACGTTGACCATCTGATGATCGGGCTAGGAGAATATATATTTTAGATTAGACTTATGTTAAGAAAGGTTCTGATAGACCTAGAAAGACTAGGGCATATTCTATAGAAAATGATCTTAATTTATTAGAATAAACTAAAATTTGACACTCAAAATGATGCAATGGAGAAAAAGGATTCACGTAGCCGACCCCACCTAGTGAGCAAAAGACTTCCCGTTGTTGTTGCTCAAGCAAAATATGAAAAAAAAAAAAAACCCAAAATCCCCACCTATATTTTTCAAATAAGAAAAAGTGAATTAGTAGTGAAGCTATTAGTGCTTCATTTATGACCATTAAGTATAGTCGAAGAAAATTCTTTTTCAAGCACTTCAAGTTATGCTTAATGACCACTGAAAAAGAAAGGGATATTTGCATACATACCAAATAACTTTAGTGTATTTACATATTTAACATCCAAATGTTTATATTAAACTTTAAATGTAAACATCAAACTTTAAAAGTGTTATATGTGTGATACATAAAATTTATGTGTACATTTGTCAAAATGATAATGGTAAAAGCGAAGTGGAACATCCACCATGAAGAAGATCGAAGAAAGAGAACATTAACAGTGTCCGTTTAGTCACATCCCACCTCACATCATTCTCTTGCAGAATTTTCTCAGGGAAAAAGAAGAAAGAAGCAGGCTTTTATCCTGCTTTAATCATTAAACAAAGAGAAATTTACATACATACTTTTTTTAATTACATATCTAATGCCTAAAATTTGATATTTACATGTATATCATGTTTTTATCTTACCTGGTTAGACAACTGTTTCAATAGGATTCAGTAGGATGTAACTTTCTAAGAAATATTATTTTTTAGACTAACACCAGCTAATCAGTGTGGTAGAGTAAGAGAAGTTCTAAATTATGGTTTTTTTGGTGAGAGTACAAATAAGGGTCATTTACATACATATTGAAAACTTTTTATGCATCTATACGGCCAGCGCCCAAACATTCGTATTTATGTTCATACTGCTCAAATTTTTAACATCACATAAAAAATGCTATAAACTTTGTATTTCTAAAAGGTAAATACAACTTTCTGGCATAGATTTATGGCACCAAAGTATTAAGAGTGCAAATATCAAACTTTCGGTGTTAGATGTATAAATAAATAATAATTGTGTGGTATGTATGTAAATTTCCCTAAAAATTAAGAGAGAATAATACAAAAGCTTCCACTAAACTATTATTGGTCGTTGGCATGATACCAAAGATAATGCAATAACACACCTTGAAGACGGTATAGTAATGTACCTTGAAGATGGTGCGACAACACACCCCGAAGACAGTACGGGGATATAGCCTGAAGACGGTCTAACTACTGCACCTTGAAGGTGCAGCAACGCATCCCAAAGATGATATAACAAGACACCCCAAGTACAATGTAACTTCCCTCCATGTCATACGTGAGCATTCGTAGTCCACAACTTGTGCAGCTTCCAACATGGGCCTTTGTGGCCTACAGACACTATCTCGGCTCATGCAGCTCCCAACTTTGGCCTCAGTGACTTACATATATTATCTCAACTTATGCAGCTCACAACTCTGGTCTCTACGGCCTACAAAATTTATATTGGCTCATGCAGCTTCCAATCCTGACCTCTACGGCATATAGAATTTATCACAGTTCATGCATCTTCCAACTCCAACATATGTGGCCTACAAACATTATATTAGATCTTGTAGCTCTCAACTCCGGACTCTACAGCCTACGGGCGTTATCTTAGCTCATCTATCTCTCAACTCGGACCTCTGCGACCTATGAACATATTATTGCAACTCACCAACACTGTTTACATGACCAACTACGCCATATGTGGTTCACAGCTCATGAAGTCCCCATCTCCAATCTCTACGGTCTGCGAACATTATCGTAGTTCACTACTACGGCCTATGTGACCAACTACGACCTACGTGGCTCACAGCTCTTGTGGCTCCCTACTACTGTCTCTATGGTCAGCCAATGCTCCTAAAACAACGACCCAAATGACCAACTACTAGCATGACTTTCAACTACGACCTCTACAATAAACTTGCACTGCAACTATCATTAATTCTTCTTTAATGTACAATGTTATTCAATAATAATAATCTCTTCCTTAATTCAGAAGAATTGTGGACTTGTTTATTCACTAGTATATGGTGGATTCTTTCAACTGTCCTAGATCCCATGGTTATTTCTCTTTTCGAGGGTTTTCCACGTAAATATTGATGCATCTCCTCCTTGTTTCTCTTTAACTTAAATGCGTGTTGGGTTTTCATTCAACGCTAAGACGCTAAATAATTTGTATCGCCGCAAATCTTATAGCGCACATATGTTTACACATCAACAATTACATCAATATATATATATATATATATATATATTCAAAAGGAATGGTCGAAGGCTGTCATCATTTGGTGCGCTAAATATTTGAGCACAACACCCTACACACAGGGGGAATCAAACCCGTGACCTGAGGGACTTACGACATTTAAAGATGTTGTTCTACCAAGAGGCCACGGATATATATATATACCCGTGACCTGAGGGACTTACGACATTTAAAGATGGACGTCTTTAATGTGATGTTAAATTTTTTTTATGTTATGTAAAAAAATAGCACAATTTTAATTGTAGACATGTAAATGCAAAAATATTGACATATGCGTGTAAATCCTCTAAAATTTAAACTAATATTAACAACAATTAACTAACAACATTCCCTAGCCAAAATAGTAGATAAACCATGGCTGCCAATCCTGATTATGAATTATTTACCAAGTTACACCCGTTGCTATTTGCTAAAAGGTCCCCTCAATGCTTCAACACTCGTGCTTCATTAGCCGCATTGCCAACTTTTAACAGTTGTTTCGCAAAGCTAATGTTATCAAAGGTTTTCAAATGCGTAACATATTGATTAACCAACAACATTGCTTAGCAAAGTTAAATTAAATATAAAAGTACTGTTACCTCAGCTTATTGATAGCTCAGACATTCTGCATCTACGAGAAACTCTTGTGAGTAAATTGAATCAGAAATTAATAAACAAGAAAGAAAGCATCACAATTATCCCAAGTAATAACTCATATGCATCTGAAATTAAGATATAATACTATATCATTAAATTCTTTGCGAAAAATTCAGTTACACTTTGCTCTGAAAGGTCCAAAAATGAATAAGCTATACCCAAAATTTCCTAGGCAACCACTTCCAATTTCTCCAAGAGCCAAAAGTGATGATAGTGTTCCAACCCATTTATGGTACTATAGTTGTATTCTATTATTGGCATTACAAGAAAACCTTTAACTATCAAAATTAAATTCAAATACAAAATTGACACTTTCGCTCTTTCCCCTCTTTCTCCAACAAGCATAGCTCCCCTTTCTAGAACATTGAAGAACAGGATGATGTCCATCTATCCTCCAAATAATCAAAATAAATCAAATTTTGATTGTGGAAGGGGTGACTAGACAGGGCTTACGGATGGTCTGATTCTGGCAGGCATTCTACTCGGAATTGGAATGCTGCCGCTGGCGGTCGCCATCTCAAAGACCGGTCTTGGAGTGATCGACATGTTGTTCATGGAACACCCAAGTTCAACTTCGTCTTCGTCTTCGTCTTCGTCTTCATCATCCTCATCAGCAACCTCTTCATCAAGACCATCATCACTGCCCTCATCAATGGAGTCCGGATCCAGATCATCCAAATCATCATCACTGTTGAAATTACTGTATGTTTTCCTCACCATGGACCAGAACTCGAAGTTGGGCCTCATGAATCTAAGAAAAGCAGTAGTGTAAGAATAAGTATTATTTCAAGAGGAATTATAAGTGTGAGTTTTCAAAAATATTTATTCATTATGCAAGGTTCTTGTAAGAATAACGAGTAAGAATAACGAAAGCATGGATTTAGCTGCGGCTTAGTTAACAAACCTGTCGGATTGTTTTAACAAGTATGGATCAAAAGGAAAGAACATATCGAGCCTCTCAACCCCGCCAAAACCTCTCGAAAATTCAGACTCCAGCAATTCGTTTTGAATGCAGGACAAGAAAGGTTTCTTTAGTAGATGAGCTGCCATAGCTTGACGTAAGAACTCTTGCACTATTGTAGGCAAACATACCTGCACATAAGGGTTAAAAAAATTTGGCAGAGAATGTCAATCAGAAATCACACTTGAGCCCGACTATACTAGCTATTGAAAATTTCTGTTTTCATAAGCTGTGCTGCAAGGCATACCCTCAAAGGATCCAGAGGATGGCATAAGATTGCTTCTAATGGCAAATGAAAAAGTATTTCCTTGAGCTCTGGAATATCCATCAACAATCGCATTCTGAAGCAAAGTATGTACATTACAGCCTACAATGGAGAAATTCAAAGTGCTGTTAGCTTTAAGTAAAGACAGCAAAGCCATATATCACATGGAAATGTAAGAGTTGATGCCTGCAGAGAAAGAACATAGTATCACACATTACCGGCAATTTATGGAACGTAACTTAAGACAAAAGATAGGTACATTATCGATAATTATTTATGAAAGAAAAACATTTTGGCAACATCACACATTTCGAATAAAGAAAAACTACAGCCATGGCATTTTTCATGTAATGCGCGTGAAAAGAATTAAAGCTGTGTGATGAAAAAAATTTGAATAAAAATGGGTTTGACGGCAGAGATAGATAAAGATGAAATTTTTATGAAACTCTAAGGGAGGACTTCATACCATAAAGAGAGAAGAGGCGGATCTAGAAGTAATTAATTGGATAAACTTTAAACAAAAATTAATGAGATAACAGAGCAGTTAGTTTGCTAGCCACCTTAATCACAACAAAATAACTGCAAGGAGCCTTCTTGAAAGTAATTTATGAAAATTTTAATAATGATAAAAGTTGAAGGAACTGAATTGAATTCGGAGTACACATCTCTACTTATATATCTTTTGGAAATTAAAAGTAAAAAAAAAACATTGTGGCTAGTTTAAGCAACACGAGAAAATGTTTACCTGGAAACCAGCATAAAAGATGCGATGATATTGGGGGTTCTTTATTCTTTCACTTCCAGCCGGTAAATAGCAATAATCATAACACCATTCCACTAACCTAAACAAGCATTGCAAGAAAAGATTTATGAGAATGTTACTAAATAAAGTAAAGGTAGCGTATAAAGTATGCAGCACACTAAGAATGTTTAAGAAAGCAAAAAATACAAGAGCTCAGCGGCCTAAATATTTGTAACTAACCTTTTAACTATGCTGGAAACCACCGCAGAAGAAATAAACCTCGCTCGAGACAAGTAGCTAGCAAGATAGGCAACTGCGCTCATCCTGCAATCATTCCAAAGTATACACATTCAGCACTCTAATTAAGTGTGGAAAGTATGAAATGACAGAAAAATCAATGAAAGCGTTAAAGAACTTGGTAATAAAAATGCAGTAACAACACTAAGTTTTCAAAAGTCAAAATGCTGAAATTTCTGAAATTAATCCAAGCAAAATATGGTTACACACTAGAGAGTCTAGAAATATTTCAAACTTCAGTATAAATGGAGTGAACTTCAAAGCTGTGGAACAAAATTAGTTGAGGGATGGAAGACGACCTTGTGAGGAGTTCAAAGTTTGATATCCAAAGATGGCAGAAAGAATTGTAGAGTTTTGCATCAAAATAGCAAGTAAACTGATTTATTATACATGGACCACCTACATTGAGAAATTTGAGAGATTTTGAATGATTTTTTTGCTAAACTCTAGTGCATGATTATTCATTTATTCACATAGGGCCATACTTATTTAATGCTTAGATCTACTTGATAGGAAACTCTTAATTCATAAGCCTTACGAGATCTATTTGCAACCTTTTTGAACATCAAGAAGGAGATTAATCGACTAAGACACCTTTACATTGGGTAGTTAGATCTAGAAAAATACTTCCAAAAACTAAATAGTGATTGACACACCATTACACAACAAAATCAAAGACTATCTTCAGTCCATATAGAAGGTTTTGAACAACAATCCTAACTGAATCAAATTAGATCAGTACGTATGTATGATTGTGAAATCTCCAATGGAATTAGCATCCATTTTTTTAGTTTCACATCCAACATGATAAATTTTTTTCACAGCCCAAAGCTTGATTTTGCGGTACGGATGATCTTAGCCTTCTTCCTCTTGAGTCATTATATTATTCTCATATCACAAATAAACACTAATGTTAAAACAATCTTAAATTCTAAATTATATACAGTTCGAACCTACCAAAAGCTAAGCAGTTCATTTTAACCTCTCATATCAAAGCTTCGGTTAATCTATTATCATAACAGATTCACCTTCAACTTCTTAATATAAACTAAAATACCAAATCCTGTAGCAGTCTATTAAATAAGTTCAAGATGCCTGCAAATATGTATAAATATGATATCAACTTAGAATCGTACGGAATACTCCAATAATAACTACGAGTGTTAATGCCCTTCTGTATAAATTTTAAAAGAAAGCCCAGCAGCACAGAGAAACATTCAACTTAGAAACTGCACAGTACCTTGAATTTGGATACTCATCTTTCGAAACAAAAGTATCCGTGAGAAAAATAGCAAATTTCAAGCCAGAAATGTCGGGGTCCAGCGAGCAAGCATAGAACATTATGAACTGTGTGACATCAAGCAAAATAGTGTGAATAAATAGAAATTAAAAAGGTAAATTTACATATACACCGCACAATTCCTTTGTATTTACATATATAAAACTTAAAGTTTCATATTTATGATTATAACACTTTGGTATCATAAACTATGCATTAAAATGTGTATTCACTTTTGAAAAGTTAATAATATTATGATTTTTAATATGATATTAAGGATTTGAGTGTTGTCTATATAAATATAAAAATTTAGATGTTAGATATCAAAATACAAAAGAATTGTGGTATGTAGGTAAATGCCCCTAAAAGCCATTAATCATGTAATCATTTATCCTTAACAACGGTTTTTGATACAGATAAACAAAATAGAAAAGGCATACAAGTAAAGAAAGGAAATGAAAAGGCAAATTAAAAAATACCTGTGAGAATTTTGACTTATAAGCATTCAACACAGTTTTTCGAAAGGACTCCATAAGTGTTTCAAATACCTATTAGAATTTATAGAGAAGCCCAAGTTCAACTTCAGCAGATAAGGCAGAAAAATGCAGATGATCTGATACATGGCTCAACTAAAAAAAGTAATAGCCTCTTTGGGATCACTTTCTATTTTCTATTTTTATTTTTATTTTTAGTCTGTTTTATTTTTGTTTTATTTTCTATTTTATGTTTCTAGAAAATGTGTTTCTTAATGTTATGATTTATATGTTTTTAAACACAAAAAATATGAAACATGTTTGGTTGGATTTTTTTTTTAAAAAAAACCATATTTTTTTATAAAATGTTAGGAACACATGCGCTTCAGTATTAAGCTTTGTCATCCATGGCATATACAACGCCTTCCTTGCTCCACCCAACATGAAACATTACCTGTGATTGGGCGGCAGGCACGCGACGGGCAGCCGACCGGCAGCGCCGGTTAGCGGCGTGTGCTGGTGGGCTGCGGCAGGCGGCAGCAAGCATGGCAGGTTGTTTTCAGTGTTTAAAAACATGTTTTTTCTGTTTTGAGTATTTTAAAAACATGTTTCCTCCAAAAAATACAAACATAAGTTTTTGTTTGTTTCCTATTTTTTATTTTCAAAAACAAAAACAAAAAACGAAAATTGATACCAAACAGCCCCTAAAAATTAGGACAAAATAGACAAACCTTCTCCAATCTACGATCAGAAGCTGATGATTTGATATGCTCACAAACAATCACCATAACACAATCTAACTTGTCAGTCAACTTTTGTTTAAGATCTCCAAAACCTTGACCCTGCGGTCAAAAAATATTACATTTAGCAGCAAAATAAACAAATACAGTGCATCTGATTAAGGTTGTATTTGGGACGGCGGTGCGGTGCTGCACCACAGTTTTTCCTATTTTGCAAAATTATTTGTCTGTATTCTCAAAAAACTGCAGCTAAAAGTTACGTTTTACCATCATGCATGGCTACCTACAGTGACTGCTAGAAAACTGATATCTGAGTTTTCCAAAAAAAAAAAAATTGTAATAGCCACCGCAGTTTTTAGAACAACTTCTTCTCCTGCAGTTTTACAGCTGTTTCTTCAAACAGTTGTAGTTGCCCTAAACAGACCCTAAATCTTATTGCAAATGTAGAAGAAACCTTTCTGCAAACTGTTTGGCTGCCAACTGAATTGTTCTCCGCATTGTCCTCCAAGTCTTCCACCTCCATGTCAAATATGCCTCTATTATAATCTTCCGTTAGAATATCCTTCCAAGTTATATTTACCTAAGAATTTAAAAGAACCCCTTATATGATTACCTTATAAGAGAGCCGGTAACAAAAAAGAAAGCATAAGGGAAATCAGAACTCACGTCTAGATCAACAAGCAGTTCGACCACCATTGAAAGCAATGTGCTCTGAAGATATTCTCCAATCTCATTACTTTCCAAACCCAGCATACACTCCACAAACGATAACAACGGCTACAATCAAATGAAAAATCTCACATCAATATAACAAGAATTAAAAAATACTTGATAATTTAGAAATTGTAACACAAAAATATTGAGTAAAGTAATAGAAAAGTGCCTTGACTATTATCATGAGGCCATCTTAGTCTCAAAGTTTATAAAAGTGCTAAATTAGTCCCCATATTATTTTAATGGCGGCAAAAATAATTCCTATAGAAGACTATTTCAGCCCATATTAAAACAATCTGAGACTAAATTTGACATTTTTATAAACTCTGGGACTAAAATGGGGACTAAATTGATATTTTTATAAACACTAGATCTAAAGTGAACCCTGCAAAAGAGACTATTTTGACACTTTTCTCCAAAAATATTGCAATAACAATAATAAATATTGCAGTTACACAAATAAAAGACAAGTTATAAGAATAAAGATGTTAAACAAGCAAAATGAGAGAAGTAATGGAATACATCATGTAGCAGCATGCATGCCTAATTCATAAAAAATATTTTCACAAATTCGAACATCATATGCAGAAGCAACATACATCTATGACCTTTTTTGCTCAGAACGCTGTTTAGACTTAATTTACATAATTTTAGCACAAGCTTAAAAGCTGGCCATACAAAGCGAAATAACTGAACATTTCCCATATAAACTTGGCATGGAGGATGATAATCTTAATTAATGTCAATCTTAATTAATGTCTTCTGTAGAAATATGCACTTCAAACGACAGTAAATGAAAGGCATCAAACATCTAATAAACCATCACGTTTCCAAAATACTGCACATACATTTCTACAAGTACTGCATATCCCTATTGTGCTAAGGATTTGTTTGGGATGGCCTATGCTTTTCATCTTTGTCGATCACCATTTTTTACAAGCAACTTTCCCAGCTACAGTTTCCTGAAGATTAGCTTTCAAAGTAGCTTTTAATAAACAGAGAAAACCTTATGTAATTTTTTAAATCCAAAAAAAAAAAAAAAAAACACTTTGTTCATTTTTTTTTTTTTTTTTTGCAATAAAAGCTATCAAAAACGCATCTTAGATGAACCCTTAATTCCCATTATATTGATGTAATCTAAAATTACAGATGTAAAATACCTACCTAAGAAAGTTGAACATCAGTTGTCATTAGTTTCAATCAAATCAATGTAGAATTTTAATAAATGATACAGAAAGATGCATGTCCGTTCAAGGTGTTATTTTGATGAGGAAGCATACCTTTGTAGTTGAATTTAGCACACTTAAAATTTCAGTTTAAGAAAATAGGAGCAAATTCACCGTTATAGTCTTTTAATGGACTCTAAAGATAATGTATCTGTAGCAATTCGGGACTATATATATAACTAGAAAATAAATGTACCTAAGAAAGGTATGATATTAGAATTAGGTTGTTGAATTGATCATGCTCAATAAAATAACTGGGTAACAGTGAAACCTTACAGCCTTATATAACTAATCATAAAGTGATTTGCCATCAAAAAGATGCTTAAGCATCACAAAATAACAAGAGAGAGAGGTGTAAGAACGTGATAAAATCATGAGCTTGCAAATCATAAACTCCTCTTTCGTCTTCTCAACTTATTGAATACTGAATCAAGAATAATAAAACTATGATTCAAAAGTTTGTAAAGTACTAATCAAGTTTATTAAACCGCTAAACAAAAAATCTCGAGATTTTAACAAGATAATAATAGAACAAGTTAATGTTACACATTTACCGCTTTATTAGCACGGAATGTTGGCATTCTTCTCTCAAGAACATCCTTTAGCTTCAAAGGAGCAAGGGGTACCAAATAAGTGATAGAATACAAAGTTTCATATAACTGGCCATTAATCCTTTTCTTTTCTTCATGCCATCTTGGTTGGTAAACATATCCATGCAACCTTTCCGGTGGCTGAAAATTTCTTACGAGCATCTCTAAGCTATCTTCAAGGAACTCGTCGGGTACAACAGCCTGTTTTGAAGATTCCACATCAAAAAGTAATAAAATCAACCAAACAATCAAAGGAAATTTACATATGTAGCACACAAATTTTAAGTATTTACATGTCTCACACCTAAAATTTCATAGTTGCATACAGAGCATTTGGGTGTTTTAAACCTATACAAGAAAAGGCTTATTTCACTTTTAAAAAGTGATAGGAGTGATATCATTTATGTGATATTAAAGGTTTGAGTGCTATGTGTGTAAGTAAATACATAATAGTTGTGTGCTATGTATGTAAAATTCCGAATAATCAATAAAGTAAACTGGTTGGGGGGAAGAATACCAAGTTAGCGATTAACTCCAACAGAGCAGTTCTGGCATCCAAACCATAATCCCAAATACACATTGAGAAAATCTGGACAAAGCAAGGCAATCTAAACTAAGTCACCAAAAACTGTAATTCGTGATTGTGTAAGGCTATGTAAACATACATTTCTTAGAAGTGAAGCATGGTAAACATTGCTAATCTTGTAGACAACAAGTGATAGTGCCTTCAAAGCTGTCTAGAGATGAAAGAAAAATGAATCAGATTTTTTAAGTCATATACCAAGTAGTATAATATGTAAGATGATAGCCTACCACAAATAGAATCTCTTCATCCAGGTTCTCTTTTCTTGTCGATGGGATTACAATTACAAGGAGTTGTTCGTAGAGATCTCTGTCTCGTTCGGCCACCAAATTTGGAGGCTAGAGAAAGAAAAAAATGTTTAAAACATAAAAGTGTGCTTTAGACAACTCCAATTACTTTGTATGTCATAGTAGATAAAATGTGACATTGAAAGTAAATGAATTAATTTTTTAAACAACATTTCATTATGTATTTTCTGAAAGAAATAGGGAACATTGAAGACGTCGGTGTTTCAGTTTGAATGCTTTGTGTGACCCTAGAATTAACTTGATTTTCCATCTAGCATTTGCGATAGAACTAAAAAAGCTTTACATACATACCACTCATTCCTATGTATATACATATCAAACACCTAAACTTTAATTTATGCATACATACCACCTTACATGTGCATGAAAAGGTGTACTTCACTTTTTAAAACTTAAAATGGTGGTATTTTTTATAAAGATTTGGATGGTATGAATGAAAAAAAAAAGAAAAATTTAGGTGTTAGATATGCAAATACATAGGAATTGGGTGGCATGTATGTAATGCCCCTATAACTAAAAACAAATCTATCCATAGCAGCACATTCTTTGTCTATGAATAAGTTTGAAACATTAAAGAGATGAAATAAAAATAAATATGATTTATGCATACAAATTGCAAGATTGTTGACAGAAGTATACTGCATAATCAATAAACTAAATAAAATAACTTTGCAACAATTATAAAATGCTAAAATGAGACACTGACTGGATACCTTGGCAACCCCTTCAAGTATCTCAGCAATGGAGGAGCATACAGCAGAGTCACTAAGATAGTAATCCTCTACTTCACGCATTGCCATGTCAGAATGCACTGGTTCAACCCCCATATCCAACCTCAAACCAATGATATCAGCAGTTAACGTAGCTGTGCAAAGAAAAACAACAAATGAGAACGAAATTAGTTACCAAAAGCAGTCCCTCAAACTATGATACATAAGGACCTGAAACTCAGTAAAAAAGCAAAACTTGAGGGAAATTGGTTATACCAAAACAAAAAGCCTACAAGGCATATTTCAAACTTTAAAATCAAAGCTTTCTAGAAACGCTGAATTGTGCAGAGAACTCGTGAAATTGTGCAGAAAATAAATTCAAGAGCCTCGAATCACGACATAAAATTTAAAAAGTAAAATAAAATAGGGGCATTTACATACATAGCACACAAGTCTAATGTATTTACATATCTCTCAACTAAACTTTCATATTTACGCATATAGCACTCAAATCTTCAATATCACAACAAAAATAGGACTGTAATCATTTTTAAAAGTGAACTACACAGTTCAATGCATAGATTTAAAGCACGAAAGTGCTATGTATGTAAATATGAAACTGCAGGTGTAAGATATGTAAATACATAAGAGTTGTGTGCTACGTATGAAGTATAAATTTTCAGGGGATCGGCTTCAACAATGAGGAGGCGATAAAACTACTAATTTCTAACAAAAATTGCAATATAATCGCTCAAAGTTCAAAAAATATTAAATTAAACTAAGAAAACACGAAGCTAACAAAGCAGAAAGATTTCCTAGATATCAAATAGTTTATGAAAAAGCAAAAGACAATGTCTTTCAGAGTTCATTAAGGCGAAGAAGAATTAAAAAGAAAGAGAAAACAAATGGCAGTTCATGTGGGGCTCTTAGGTAGCAGGATTTGAGTAGTACTTAACCTAAATGATGTTAAACAACAAAAATGACTTTAAATCCTACAGGATCGTAAATCCCGTTTCTCCTCTGTTATGCCTTAAATCTCGGGGGGTCTACTAAAATCTCGTCGGCAGACGGATTCACGGGATTTTAAGGAACTAAAACGCGGGAAGGGGGTGGGAGTAAGGTGGAGAAAGACGACGGTTACCTTCGTCAATGGTTTCGGTTGGGATAGTTGCTGAAGGAGAAGAAAGATGGGAGTTTCGAAGGTTTTTGTACGCTGCGATCGCAGCTGCGTTCCCAGAAAGTTCTAGTCGCGACTATATCGCTGGGGTTTCGGTCGCTCGAGGAGTAGGGGGAAGGTAGGCGATGGTTTCAGGCTAAACCAGGAGAAGGGGGCGGGAGGCTGGCGAGGGTTTCGGCAGGAGAGGGGAACGTGTAGACGCCAGATAGGTTTCGGATTTTATTTATTTTTTTTTTGAATTAACTGATTAATGATTAATAAATAATTATCAAACAAATTATCACAATCTATATAATAAGTAACAACTTCATAATTAATTAACAGAAAATTAAATTAATACTAATTTAACATTATTTTAAATTTTATTATTATTTGTTATAATAAAAAAATTAATTATTTATTTATTAATGAATATTAAACTATTATTTAATAAATAAATAATTTAATGGAATTATTAGTAATTAATTAATTAATCTAGAGAATAATTATTTTTTAATTGATAAAACTTAATATTTATATCATTACTATATATAATATTAAATTTACACTTCAACTAATTTAAATTTTGAAATAAATTAATATTAAATAATTTAGAAATTCATTAACTCAAATATTATTATATTTAAAATTATAGATTTACCACTTATATTTAAATCCTACTTGCAACCAAAAGTTGCAAAATTTATTCTAAATGACTAAATGAGCATGTTTCACAAAAGGGTTCGTTAGAGAAGAGATTGAACCAATGTTGCTTTATAGTGAACGTCGATAGTTGTAAACGTTTTCATTTGGTGAAGCTATGCATGTCGAAAGTCTCCCATAGTTGTTCGCAAAAATGATAATGTTTTCGTTGTTTCGAACTGCGAAGGAATTTCTTCGTTCCGCTAACAAGTCTTTCAAAAGAACTTTGTTGCACGACGAAGATACTTCAAACAAATAAATTAATGTAAATGAATTAATATTATTTGTGATTTATTAAATTAAATTAAATTAACTTTATAGATTAGTAATCATTGGTTGATTAGGATATTAAATTATATTTATTATAATTTAATTTAGATAATTGTAATTGATATATTAAATTAAATCATATTATTTTTAAGGAGAACAATATTTTAGTACAAAAATGATATGTTATAATGATTGTTTTTGGTGGGCCAAATTAACCCACAAATGCTATTAAGATTATTTTGATCAATTTGATGACTAAAATAGTATACTTCATCTATCAATTGTAGACATCATTAAAGTAAAAAACTATAAAACCGCCACATTAGGCCTAAGTTAGTCGCCCATGTTTGTCAAGAAAACTTTAATAAAACATGTATGTAATGATCCAATAACCTTCCCATTTAAGGGAGAGCAAAACCAGCACTAACTCATGCCAACATATATTTGGATGATGTTAGTAAAAATTGTCAAATGTCCATCCCACAAATCCGATATATTTTAAACTTCTAAAACCAAAGAGTTTTCAAATTATAAAGAATTTTAGAACTTTAATAGCTATCTAGTTAACAATAGTCATTCTCTGTATTCTTGGATTACATTAATCGCACACTAACTCTAGGACACTCAAAAATCTATACTTTTTGTGAGAAAAAAACTACTTGAATCTTGTCCATTTTCCCTAGCTCACTCAATTTTACCCTCCTAAAATTTGTTATGCACTAATTGCTCACAATTGTTCCATAAGTCACTTGGTTTTCTCCATTTCTAAAGGACAATGCTTATCTTAACCATCATACAACATTAACCACATCAATATAAATTTATTCTCTTACATCATATCAATGTCTACTCTATTTTTTATTATTGTGAGGTACATTCAGCAGAATTTTATTCTGTTACATCATACAAGTGCCAAAAGTAGTTTTTATTAAGGGCAAACCTCTAAAATTTTGGATTAAAAATAGTGAGTATTATTTCAATTGATAAAGATTTTTTTCTTCTTTTTATAGGTTTCCACATAAAAATCATGTGCATATGTGATAAATTCATATATGTTTTTGAGTGAGTGCAAAATCATTGTTTGAAGCTAATTTTAGCTCTCATTGCTTAATGAATTTGTTTATGGGCTTGAAACATCACATCCAAACATCTTTTCTTATCCCTCTTGATAAAAGGAAATGTTAGTGAAGGTTCTTTGATCCATCTCTAAAAGATTGAATTTGATACATAGAGTACTCATGAGATTAGCCTTGTGCATGAATATCATCTTATTAAAATTCAATTTGATATCTTCTCTCTCTCAATCAATTCTTAATAACTATATTAAGAATTGAATAACTATGCAAAGACCTCTTATTGATTATATCAAGTTGAAAATCCTCCTCTATCTCCATCTCCAAAGCGAAACCTCCATGATGCCAAAACCTTAAGTAACTACTTACATGGCCCATCTAGTTTGTAATTTCTTACTTATAACCACAAACTTACCTAAACTCGTGCAATTACTCCACCTGCCGCCCAATTTATATAGATTTGCACACCTAACACTACTTATATACAAATTTACCTACATACCACTCAATTCTTACGGATTTAGATACTTCCATATCACTAAATTATTTTGTCATCGTCCGATAGGCTACCTGTCAACCGGCAACACTCCCCGAACGACCGTTGCTCTAATTGTTTCCGGTCGATCACCAACATCTGACCGACCATTTCAATCAATAAGAATTTACACATATATCATCTAATCCTTTTGTTTTATGTATCTAACTTCTGAAAGTATATTTTTTTTTTATCGATCTGACCGCTCACTTTTGCTTTGGAATACAAACCAATAGTATGTTCCCTCAAAACAAAAATAAAATAAAATAAATTGACATACACAACTCTCACTTTTTCTTTCTTATTTCAAATATATAAACATATAAACTTATATACAGTGAAAGGTATGACTGAATATAGTATAAGAGATCTCAAAAGAAATTTTTTCATATGTAGTGTTTTAAAGTGATGCAATGATTATTCTCTGCATTATAAATTCAAAACTATTTTTGTTTTATATATCTAGAAGTTTATTCTACGTCATTTTGAAGAAGCATAAGTGCAAAGAATCCACCCTACGGTCCATATGGTCGAGACTAGGCTAGCTCAATAAATTCCTGCATACAGGAAGTAGCTCGACACTTGGGGAACTCAAACTCTAATAGTAAAATCGACAATGTTGCATAGACGTCCGATCGCTAATAAGGGTCTTGAGATGATTCGCCACCCGGCAAAGACAAGCTTTGTGAGGGATGCAAAAAAATTTAACACCAGGCAGCGACTAGCTCTTTAAGGGGGTGTAAGAAGAAATCTAACACTCGCGGTGAGTGTAAAAAAAACTAACACCCCGTAGCGACAAACTCAGCGAGTGGTGTAAGAAAAAAAATCTAACACTACGTAGCGACAAGCTTTGTGAGGGGTGGAAGAAACAAAATCTAACACCTGTCAGCGACAAGCTTCGCGAGGGGTGTGGAAAAATCTAACCCCCCACAGCGACAAGCTTCGTTAGGAGTGTAAAAAAAATATAACACCTGGTAGTGACAAACTCTCCAAGGGGTATGTCAAAATCTAACACCTGACAACAACAAGCTCCACGAGGAGTGTAAAAAAAAAAACTAACACCTGACATTAACAAGCTCCACGAGGGGTACAAAAAAAATATAATACCCAACGACGACAAAGCTCCGCGAGGGGTATAAAACAACTCGTCACCCGACAGCGACAAGCTCAATGAGGGGGTGCAGAGCTCCGCGACTCCACACCAAGGCGAATTGTTCCAAGAGTCCATCGCGGGACGAACAGCTCCACAACATTACTTTGGGGCGAACAGCTCCACTACAAAGGCAAACAACTCAATGACTCCACTTCGGGGCGAACAACTCCAGGACAACACTCTAGGGTGAACAACTCCAGAACTCCACTATGGGTCAAATTGCTCCAGGCCTCCACCCCAAGGCGAATAACTCCTGAATACCACTCTGAGGCAAATGACTCAAGGACTCCACCCCGGGTCAAACAACTCTAGGACACCACTTTGGGGTGAACCGGGTCAAACAACTCTAGGACACCACTTTGGGGAGAACCGCTCCAGGAATCAACTCTAGGCGAATATGTTTAGGACTCGCCTCCAAGGCGAGCAATTATAGAACTCTTCCTCAGAGCATGCAAAATAACAAAGAACTGATGGCTGACTTTTTCCTTTGATGACCGACCTTTTCATCCAGCTGGTCACCGGAACCCGATGACTCCCCCCGACAGAAAAACTCCAGAATGATGGATCCAGCTTATTACGACAAGGATACAAGAAATGAGCGCGAAAAACGTATCGTTAGCAAATTATGTATTCATAATTTGTTTGATTTATAAACTTTCGTTAGCAAGCTATCAAGGAGCAAGAAAATTTTGAAACTTAGGGTTTGTTTGGGGCAGCAACAGCTTAAAAATAAGTAGCTGCACTGAAGCTATACGGATAAGCTGACCGTCTTGTTTGATTTTACAGTTTGAAAATAGTTGTACTGCAGCTATTTCTGGACAAATGATCGTTATACCCCTATATAGTAATGTTATTTGCAATAGAATTATTCGTACTAGTAGATTTATACTTTAAAAATAAATATTCAGTGCAGAACATTACAAAATAAAGATAAACATCTCACTTAAAAATGATTAACATGACTGTATAAAACAATGATATAATAAACAATGAATGTCTTCAACAACTATTACAATTAACAGAAATAAAAACTAACATGTCCTTTAACCACTCTCCAACTATCGCATTTGTAATTCGTCCTCTTAACTCTGTCATTTATTTTGCACATTTCCCATCTTTAGTGTAGGTCTGAGGACCATCATTTTCATCATGTGACAAAGACTGTCCAAGAAGGTACCCATATGCCTCGACAGGAACATGTGTATGATCCTCGTCTACCCTACAGAAATTAATGTCGTTGCGGGAAGGATGTTGGCGAATGTAATTGTGGAGAACTATCGTGGCAATCACACTCAGCACCTATATAGGAAACGGTGGGATGACATATCACGAAGTATAAAAATTTCTTCTTCCAAACACCAAAAGTCCTCTCAATGACACTATATAAAGAGAAATGTCTTTTATTAAACATTTCTTTCATATCCCGCGCGACATTGCTGGCTCGCTTAAAATCGAGTATGTGGTATCTCGTATTACCTGATGTGAATTGAATAATTAGGGTTGAAGGAAAAAAAGAATTAGGAAAGTAGCTCAGTCTCAAGCGAACTTTTGGGTGAATGTGAGAAACTATATTTGTTATTCCGTGTTGCAGATTTAAAAATTTAACTATCATGTGCATTGTCCTCCCAACTGGCAACGACAAAACTAAAGCACATGATAAAGTCACATATTGTAATGTCAATCTACGTGCATCAATGTGTGTTCCATCAATTGCTCTAATATAATTGTAGAACGATAACGAAGGGCTACATAATTACGATATTTATATAAAAATTGAATGTAATAAATAGAATAAATTACTTTAAAATATGATATATATTGCACATTGTGTGAAATCTTTGTGGGGGTCCATTCGAATGTAGAATTTGTTGGTTTTATGACATATGGAGAAAAAGTGACAAGTGTATTCAACCCTACTGAGAAGTATTTGCAAATCATTTCAGAATAATGTTGAAATCACTCCATAGATCCTCGCTTTAATTCATTCTGCAATAATATGTAGAGGGTTATTGTTAGTACCTCTCGTGAAGTCATTCTGAATTAGCCATGAAGTCTATGATTTTTGTGTAGTTCCTCCAACAGATCAGTGAATATCACATGTCTCATGCGGAGCATATTGCTAAATTTTGTTGTATTGTCAACGTATGAGGATGTCATATAAGGGGAGCGCTCTATGTACGAGTTATAATAATCATACATCAAGCATATCACAGGTGCAACTCTCCTTCCGCATTTTTCTCTAGTTGCATTAATGTATTTCGGTATGGATGTGGCTAACACACAAGCATCAATAAATTAGTTACAATCATATAAGGTTATGAACAAAACAAACATAACCAGATAACATTACAAAAGTAAAAAAGAAAACACAACAAATAATGAAAAAACTCTCAAGTAAAGTAGTATGACCAAAGCAACATAAATATCCAAAGCAGCTTGAAAAATATAAACAAATAAAATGTCCAAAGTAAATAAACAAATAACAAATATGAAATGTCTCACAAGAATCTAATAAACAAAAAGATGTCTCTCAAATGTCATTGCTCGTATGAAAATAATGTAGGTAAGTCTCTCTATGGTCAGCAAACATCGTCATAAAAAACTCTCTCTAAGCAAAATCCTCAAGCAACTTCATAAAGAACAAATACAACGACACGTCTTTGTAAATTTCTGAAGTATGCTTGTTCTGTTAATTAAATCTGGATTTACTAAATCCACTTATTAGTTGGATTTAACGGACTTAGCACAAGAAAAAAATATTTTAAGTGGATGTATGCAAAACACCTCTAATGAATTTAACTTGTTTTAACCTTAATTGAACCAAACAATATTTTGGATTTAATGATATTTAGATTTAGTAAATCAGGATTGACCAAATTTAGTAAATTCTATTTAACTTAAATCCTCCTTGCAACCAAACTTCTAGTCAAAACTAGAGCTGTCAAAACGGCTCATTGTTCGCGAACAGCTCGTGTTCAGCTCATTAAACAGCTCATTTTGTCTCATTCGTTAAGTTTAACGAGCCAAACACAAACAAATTTTTAAGCTCGAATAAAAATGAGCAGAACACAAACAAATATTTGTTTGCTCGTGTTCGGCTCAAATTGGCTAGTAAAGAAATAAATAGATAAAATATTCTCAATATTTTACAGTGTAATTGGTGTTATTCCTCGGTGTAACACCTCAAAATAACACCGGAGAAACACTTGTTGTGTTATCAGTGTTATTTCTCCATCCACGGGGTTATTGGTGTTATGCTACGGTGTAACTCTGCAGAACAACACACCGAGAAAAACTTGTTGTGTTATTGGTATTTCTCTGCCGTCAGCGATGCTGCTGGTGTTATTTTGCGGTATTATTGGTGTTATCGGAATATTGAGTATAAAATATTACGTATATTATATAAAGCAAAAATAATTATATTTATGTTCATACACTATTGTTATAAGTTTTTCTAGTTAAAAAATTTATAATAATTGTTCATAACACTGAAAAGATGCATAGTACACTTATACAAATTTATAAACCTTTCATTATATGAGTTTTAGCTCTACTTTGTTCATTTACAATTCAAGCTATAAAACAAAAAATAAGTAAATTAGAGCTACAAGCAAATTGGGGCGCTCAATAAATGTAAGAAGATAAATGTATATTTAATGATGATAATTTACTGTTTAATAAGTGGATGATTAAGACCTTGATAAAATGTATATTTAATAATAATTTAATTACTTATATGAAGATTTCTTGTGCATTCGAGCATCAATTTTCTTATATCATGTGCATATGTATGTTATTTTGAAGTAAAAGTACTATAACAAAATCAAACAAATAACTAGATAATTAAATTATAAATATTTCAATAATAATTTGTATGTCACCAAATGATATAAATAATACTAATAAGCATATACATTTAAATCATCGACATAAAAAATATATTAAATTACCACTTAAACTTGTAAATAGGTTTAAACAATATTTTGAAGGAATGTACAAATGTAGCACATAATTCTTATGTATTTACATATCTCACACATAATAACACCTATAACACCACAGAATAACGCCGATAACATCAATAACACCGTGGAATAACACCAATAATACGATAATAATACCGTGGAATAATACCAAAGTGTTATTCCACAATATTATTCTCCAATTATAGGTGTTACTTCGCGGTATTATTTTATAATTTCAGCATAACACCGCGGAAGAACACCCGATAACACAACAATAACACATGAATAACACCTGCAATAACACATGAATAACACCTGCGCAATTTGGGTGTTACTTAGGTGTTATTGCGGATGTTATTGTTGTGTTATCGGTGTTATTCCGTCGTCCGCGGTATTATTGGCGCGATTTCGCGGCATTTTATATTCTGTCGAGCCTATTTTGAGCCGAACACGAGTCGAGGCACAACTCACTCAAACTCGACTCGTTTACAACCCTAATTAGAACATCAAAAACAAAAGCCAAAAGGGAAAGACTTAAAACAATCTCTGATGAAACCCAATTGAAATAAGAATAACATTTTAGCATTGTTTTCAAAATTTTAGAAAACAACAATCAAAATAATTACAAAGCATTATTTTTTACTAAACAAAAACATTCATCCTGTACATTGTAGAGTAACCAGATATTTCCTGAAAGCTATTAAAAAAAACAGGGATATGTCTAAAAGAATTTCTTTCCATTATTCACACCAATGAATACTACATCTCACAACCACAATCAAAAGATAAAAAAAACAGCTATGCTTCTGAATACAAATAAATAATCAAAATCAAACAATCATAAATAAAACGATAGCCCACAGCATGATCGATGGCAGCAATTTTCAGTATAATAAGTCTAATCAAACAATCATCCCGAGCCTTTAGACCACCTTACAGCCTAATAGTTTGCTAGCCAACTCACCGCTCGATAAATCAGCGCAAAACGGCGCCTTCGCCGGCGACGGCGGGGACGGTCGGTACGGCAGCGAACAGTGGCGGCGCATTCCGTCCGCCGAGATCCATCGACGACTTCACTGACAATGGCGGCGCGGCATAGCGGGAGGAGAAGTCACGAAATCCAGCATCGGCATCGGGGGTTTCATCGAAGTTGAGTGCATAGCTAAGGGGATCGTACTGGAATCTCACACCGAGTCTCGTGCTGCCGCCGAGATTGCGAGAGTTCTTATTAAATCGCCGGATGAAGGTCTTCCATCTCGGTCCGGCGATGAGCTCGGACCAATCCCGGAGCTTCATCGAAGCCTCCGTTAAGCACCCGGACGCACAAGAACGATCGGATGGTTGAATCCGCTCCCACCAGTCGGCCGAAGTGGAAGCGGATGTGCGCCGGCGAGACCACGGGGAGACGAAACAGCAGCAGCCGCGTTTATCGAACATGATATCCGCCTCCTCCGGCAATCCTTCGTCGTGACCCGTTCGATTTGCCGAGGAATCCATTGATAGCGAAGGGATGGAGAGGGCTGGGAGAGGGAGGGAGGAAGATGGCGCTAGGGTTTGCCCTAATTGTATTATCCTCCCTACCCGAGTTTTCAGGAGGAAGGGAAACGCGTGAGGGAAGGGTTTAAAGAAACGTCAATGTCTGGAGTGGGACGCGTTAAGGTGGATGAGGGACGACGTAACCGCTTTGTAGACCGGCGGGACGGGCCATTTGGAAACGAAACCAGCTGCTTCTTCGCTGGACTAGAAAGCTGTTTTTTACAAAATTCTCACTATTTATTGCGTTTATTTTAATATTTGTTGGGATCACATGTGTAAGCTCCCACCTTCATAGGAAATTGCTTCTTAAAGAAGTCTTTAATCTGGATGGCCTCGACGATCTCAGACATTGATACCATCAAGGGCGCGACATTAACAGGAGGTAATTGAGGCAGATCTTGTCCCCAACCCAAAGACAGTCTTTGAAACTTCTCTTTGGGCTCCTGTGGTCAAGAGGAGCCAGGCTGAGAATTTTATTCCTTAGCAGAAATGTGATGATTTGTGAGCTCCAAGAGCTTGACCAAAGTTTAGCTTTTGTAAACCAAGTGTGTACTTGAACAGGCTTTTATGCAAGCCTGGAGCTAAGGTTGCATGAGCAACAGTTTGTTCTAGGTCATGAACGTCCAACATCTTCCACTTGAACTGTGTGATGAAACGTCTGAGGCTGTTCTTAGGGTCTCGACGGATCTTTAGGAGAGATCGAGAGCTATATGATGACTTTTACGTGCTAGCGAATTGGGCTATAGACATGCGTTTGAACTCCATGAATGAGGTAGCGACTTTCGTATATAGGTTATTGAACCAAGGAAATGTCAATTCTTCCAATGTCATAAAGAACAAAATGACATCAAGGGTGTCGTTCATCCTCAAAGGACATACATCTAACTCGAAAGAATATATACGATTAGTAGGATATGACTTCCCTTTATAGGATTCAAAAAAAGAAATCTTGAAATTATTGAGTTCTTAAGCTTCTGCAATCTCTCTTGAGAATATGCTCTCCAATGACCTTTGTCCTCTTCTTCTATTTCTCCTTCACACTCTTTTGTCTGAGGATTAGGAATGTTCACGCTATAGGATGTAGGTTTCGTCCCTTTGTACTTTTTTTTCTTCTAAGTTCAAACTAAGGGCTTGTTTGGGTCCTGCCCTTGGTAGATCCTGCTGAGAAGACTCTTGGCTTGGTGGTTCACATGATCTTGTATGCGCCTTGGGTTGATCTTTAGAGGCTTCTTGCCTCAAATATTGTATAACTTTCAGGACTTGTTCCCCAAACTCATTAAATTATTGTGTCATGAACTCTCTAGTATAATTCATCATGTTCTTTAATCCTCATTGTGCCAGAATAATCCTCTTGCTGAGTTTGAGTATAAATTACATGCTCATCACATCCTTTATGATGTTGAATCTTTTTAAGATGTGGGGTCTCGTATTGCTCGTGACTTCATACAACCAAGTAAAGACCTTGTATCTAGTAGGAAGGCGATGTAAGGATCTCCGATTCCCCCATAACAATAGAGAAGGAGAGGAAGAGGGAGGGAGAGGGAGAGTGTGAAACTTTTTTGAGAGTCCATGAAAGAGGAAAAAGAAAAGAATCAACACCCCTCTACGAGTCCTCGTCTCCTTTTACACGAGATAAAAGAAATATAAAATCACATCCCGTAAGGTACAACACATGTTTGCAGTGTCTTAGTGAAAAGATTGATATGCAGATGTCTGACAATGCCTTAAGTGAGGATTGACACATGCTTTTGTGTGTAACAATGGTCTTTCTGATTTAACCATATCAGCAGATAAGCTCAGTTCATTCATTTCGACTGATGGACTCAGTTCAAGAATAACCAAGTCTTATGAAATGACCCTAAAAGGCTTTCTTATGTTATATGGTTATATTTGAGTATGCAATAATAATAATAATTTTAACAAACATTCTAACAAAAATTTAAATATTCTGTGCCAATTTTTCTCCTATAGTAAATGTTAATTGCACACTATATTTAAGGATCCTAATATTTTATATTTTTTTATCACCTTCGTTATTACCTTAATTACTCCATTTTTTGATCCTAGGAACTAGGAAATTATAACTATATAAAATGTGAAACATTTTCAAAATAATCAAATGTATTTTAAATGATGACAAATTTGACCATGCAACTGTCAAGTCTCCATACAAGGCTCAGAAGAGTCGTTATGAAACATGAAAACTTATCCTAGATGCAAGCTGAATCATTATTCGAGAAGTTTTCGTCCCATTTATTTTAATTTTTAGACCAATAAGAAATGCACATAATTTGGAAAAAGTGCTCGTTCGAACTTAGCAATTTAATTGAATATTAGCCTGGTCAATGCATAATTAATTAAATATTAATCGTCTTTTGTATGACCGGTGCACTCCCCTAAGACTGAGTTACATACAACAACATCAACAACAATAACAACAACAACAAAGCTTTAATCCCACTACGTGGAGAAAAAATATTACACCAGTACTATGCACGTAGAGTAACGTGTGTAGCCAATGAAATCACGTCATGACACCCCGCGTGATAGAAAAAAAAAACGGCGCAATAACACGAGAAATATTCCCCCCATGTTATTCATGTGTTATTATGTGTTATTCATGTGTTATTGTGTCCTGAAAATATTCTTGGTGTTATAATAACATAATAGCACATGAATAACACAAAATAACACATGAATAACACGGGAGAATAGTCTCCCTTGTTACTCCTCCCTTGTTACTGCGCCGTTTTTTTCTCTGTCGGGAATATTCTCCGTGTTATTCAGGTGTTATTTTGTGTTATTCATGTGTTATTGTGTTCTGAGAATATTATTGGTGTTAATTGGTGTTATAATAACACAATAAAATAACACAATAACATATCAATAACACATGAATAACACACAATAACACATGAATAACACGCAATAACACAGGGGGCAATATTCTCAGTGTTACTGCGCCGTTTTTTTTTCCCTATCGCGCGGGGTGTCGTGACGTGATTTCATTGGCTACGCACGTTAATTCTACGTGCGTAGTACTGATGCAATATTTTTTCGATATGAATTTGGTGGTATGCATGTAAATGCCCATATAAATTGTAATCAATTTTTATGTATTTGATTCATCTTAAATTAAATTTTAGTAATTTAAAAATTTATCCCGATCATTTCGTATATCTTGACCTAGTTTTTCCATTGGCAAAGTGAATAAGCGTTAATGTGCTGGAACTTTTGTGGCAATTGCTGACCAGAATATCAAATCAAAGAAGCGGGATTCACGTTATCTAAGGCCGGCGATCTCTTTTCTCCAGTTCGATAATAATAGAAAATGATAATATTATTAAATTATATAGGAAATCTGTAATTAGTAATTGCAATCATGAATTTATGAAAATTTGTCTCGGGATTTATTTTGTTGTTTTAAATCTAAAATATATTTTAATAAGTTGAAATATTGAAATAAGTTGAGGAGGCATTGGCTAGGCAAGGTGAACCCGTCAAATGGAGCGATTATTGCGTGTGGAGGGCGCACAGAGCTGCGTGCGCCCTCCGATCACAGCCGTACATCGCGGCTGTATGATAGTGGGACGGAGGGCGCACGTAGCACTGCATGCGTCCTCTGCATCTAATAATTAGACCGTCAAATGGGTTCATAAAAGACTTTTGTATTTTATTTTATTTATTAAACTCAAAATTAAAATTATGAGGAATTCAAAACTACTTTATGTATTTTCAAATTAATCGGTTTCAAGATACATTGCAAGCTATCATCACACTACCACCCATCACTATCATGACCTCCATTAGGCGAAGGCCATCATCACTTGACTGTCATCACTAGCTACTACCATAAAACTTTATAATAAATTCATTTTATTTCAAATCAAACATGATAAAATAATGCACTAAATTTACTTTATACAACCAAACACCACTAAAATTTTCCAAATACATAATTTTGGTTTGGGTTTTATTTTGAGAAGTTTAACATTCTAAGTGTGCAACCAAACAACACCAATCTAAAAGGAAAGCTATACATTTGAAACCAATTCAACCATAAAATCTTAAAAGCCTTCTTTTCATGCACTAAAAAAATAAAAAAAAAAAATTTCGTGATCATACCAAATTCAAAATTATTTATGTGAAATACTTTAAAAAATTAAATGTACTAAACAAAAGTAAGAAAATTAAAGTGTTTTTTCCTGAATTTCCAATTTAGTATTTAGTCCTGCAAGCTCAAACATGTAATAGTTCAGGTTAGATGTGCAAATATCATGCCTTTGGTGAACACAAATTCTCTTCTGATTTTAAGAGTCATAGTTCATATGGGCGGCTCAATAGAAAATATGTTTTTAAAATTCTTCTGTTCTTAGCGTGTTAGCGCTGCTTCAGAAAATTATTTATATCTTTCTAGAAAATTAAAGACACAATAAATATATAAAGTAGTTTACAAGATTAAGATAATGTGGATGACTCTAATACTTCTATGCTTATAAGTGAGCCGTGCTGGCTCAAATTTGACTCACTAAAAAACTTACAACTCATGCATACTCAAGTTGCGAGCTTAAGTTTGAGTATGCTAGTTGAGGTTCAACTCATTTGCTTATGAACTAATTCTTAGATCGATTGGTTTGTCACATCAATACCTTCTTCGATGAACTATCGTAGTGACTTCTTAATTGAACAGTTGTTCAAGCTGATGCCTTCTTCAATAAGTGCTTGTCGCAAGCAGAAGCTCTTTTTTTGAGCTGATGATTTCATAGGTAAGCTAGCTTGAATTAGACATGACTTTACACCTCTAACTTTTCAACAGACATGCATAAATAATATCAACAACACTTTTAATGACATATCATTTTGCAACACTAAAAAAAAAGTTGAAGAAGGGTTTTAAATATCTTGTTGGTATTATGGCTCAAGTCATAGGACTTGAGAGAACCACTTTGAGTGGGGAAGCTTCTTCATTATTATAATTTGCTAAGTCTTTTATTAATGAAATTATATGTTTGATTTATGCCCTTACATCAAATCCAGAATGCACCCTATTCTATGTGACCTTCTTGTTAAATTTGTTTAATTAAATTTAAATTTCTGTTAATTTTAAGTTTAATTTTAATTTGAATCAAACTCAAGCCCAAGTTAGCCAATCACGGCACATCTAAGAGTCCAACCCAACCAAGTTTATATCCACCAAGCAAGGGTCAGAAAAGCCTGATTTAGGTCAATAAGACCATGTCAGGGCTATCCCAACCACCTAGAGGATCTACGAATGAAATTCTTGGTCTAGAGTGGGGTTGTGGAAGAAAGGAAGTTGGCAAGAAAATAAGGTCAACATCTTTATTTTGTTATCACAAAGTCTCATTGCTTGATCAATGTTATCACAAACTTGGCTCAAATTAGTTGCCAATTTGGATACATATTTGTTGAATCTTTTTTTGTCCATGAATTACGCCTAATGAATAAAGCCTGATGGAGAGAGAGAGAGAGAGAGAGAGAGATAAGGAGATGAACATGGCTCGAACAACTAGAGACCTGAATCACTTTTATATTTAATCCTCTCCTTTTTATAAGGGATGACTCTTATATTAAACATGGACTGATCAAAATGATGTCAAGACCCTTAGGGATGTCTAGTCATCTTTTTGGTCGCAACATCATTAAATTCAAGATTTTCATGAAGATTTTCCCCTAAAGTCAACTAACAATCTGGGGATCCTCATTCTTGGCATTTGAGCTTCTATGCTAGCATTCATCTTCCACATTTGATCATCCAAGTCCTGCCCTTCACAATTGATCCTTTGTATTCGACCTTCTCAGAACTTGATCGATACTCATCCAAGTTTGGTGAAACTAGGTCGACTAACTACAATATCCTTGTTTTGGCTTATTTTCTTAGCAGGCTTGGACTGATGCATGTTTCGGTGAGTCCCTGCTTTTGTTGGTCTTCATAACTGATTTTTTGTTGTACGCTATCACAAATCCATTACAAATAAAATAAAAAAATATAAATATCCATATTAATTATTATACACCAGCTTGTTTAACATATAAATTGAGTTAACAATCTCATAAATCCTTGCATAATGCAAAACAATTAAGTACTTTTCTTAAAACACAAGCATGCTAGCGTGTAAAAGCTTAAATTAAGTTTATATGATTGTAGATATTTACATGTTTTGCATAAGAAGAAAAAAGCTTGCCCTAAAATATAAAAAAATACATGTCTTAATTGTAACCTAAATTAAGGAATAATTCACATTAAAAATTATAAATCTTCATAATTCATAATTTGTTTTTAGGGCATTATACAATATACATTGTTGTGTTTGTCCTCACATTATTGCACATAATGAATAAATTTATGTTGGAACACTTTATTCCCGTGTAAAACATTGGAAAACTCACCATTTTAGTAAGAAAAGTCTTCCTATTTTGTTAGAGGATAATATTAAACGACCGTTAAGAAAAAAAATTAAAAATAGTATGAAACATCCAAAATCTTTATACTTTCAATTTGCTCCCATGATGAGATAAATTAGAAAGGAAACTAACTTTTTATTTTGCTTAGAGTAAAGTTGTCTACATGCACATGGAATAATGTGAGATAAGAGGTGTGTAAATAAGTCGAGTTAGGCTAGAGTTAAGGCATGCTTAAGCTTGGCTCGACTACTTATGGCAAGCTTAAACTCGAATGTGAACTTAAACGAGCTTATAACACTAGTTTAAGTTTCTCTTGTTGGAAAAACAATAAGCTCAAGCTTGATTCATGACCTCTAGCCCGAAAGTCAAGATGAAAAATTACTTGAAAAGGATGGTTGCTAGTAGGAGAAGATATCAACTGGATTTTATTAGGGCAATCAACAATGTCACCAACGAGCAATGACATTAGGGAAAGTCATGATAGTAGGTTGTTGGTGAAGACTCCCAATGTGAGCTTATTGGAAATGGCATTAAGACTAAGAGTAGTAGAGAAATCACAATGGGAGGCATAAGGCTCATTTGAGATAATGGTGAGACGAATGGTAAATAACATTGAAAAAGGCATTGATAAGACTAACATTGAAGACATTCACATGTGGTTAAATGATGTTCAAGGAAGACTTCGTGACTTGTGCTTTGAACCATGATTCATTAAAGTGGGGGGAAAAGAAAAAAATTTAAGATTCATAATCAACCCAACTCATGAGCCAATGAGCCAAGCCTTTCAAAGTCGAATTGAAGATATTTTAAGAGAAAAACTATAATGTGAGCTTGAGTTTATGTCTTAATAAGATTGACTTATAAACTCATCAAAATTAGTCAAATGCAAATTGACTCGCTCACTTGCACTCATAGGTGAAATATATCTCTATTAATTTATTACAATGAAAAGTGCATGCTAGAATGCAAAACATATTGGTTGGAAATAATATGAATAACCCCAAGGCGTCGGGTTTCAGTACTCATGCCATCAAAAAAAGGTGGGAAGTGTTGAACTGAGAATTTTGAAGTCGTTAATGTGGTCTACTACCGTCTACAATAGAGCACTTTAGGTCTACCAAGATTCGCTATGACCAACTAATTTTTGTATATATATTTTTTCAAATTTCTTAATGAAAAAGAGATTAAAAATAATGTTCTCACATGTGTAATATATATAGTCA